CAGCATCCTTGTAGACCCCCTTCAGATATTGGAAGGCTGCTATGAGGTCTCCACGCAGCCTTCTCTTCTCCAGGCTGAACAGCCCCAACTTTCTCAACCTGTCTTCATACGGGAGGTGCCCAGCCCCCTTATCACCCCTGTGGCCCTCCTCTGGACTTGCTCCAGCAGCTCCATGTCCTTTTTATGTTGAGGACACCAGAACTGTACACAGTAGTCCAAGTGAGGTCTCACGAGAGCAGAGTAGAAGGGCAGGATCACCTCCTTTGACCTGCTGGTCATGCTTCTTCTGATACAGCCCAGGATATGGTTGGCTGCAAGCGCACACTGCCTGCTCATGTCAAGTTTCTCATCAATCACCACCCCAAAGTCCTTCTCCGCGAGACTGTTTTGAATCTCTTTTCCACCCAGCCTGTAGCTGTGCCTGGGATTGTGCAGACCCAGGTGTACGACCTTGCACTTTTCTTGGTTAAACTTCATGAGGTTGGCATCAGCCCACCTCACAAGCATGTCAAGGTCCCTCTGGATGGCATCCCTTGCCTCCAGCGTACCAACCGAGCCACACAGCTTGGTGTTGTGGACAACCTTGCTGAAGATGCACTCAATTCTATTGTCCATGTCACCGACAAAGATTTTGAACAACAGAGGTACCAAGACCGATCCCTGAGGGACACCACTCGTTACTAGTCTCCAAGTGGACATTGAACTGTTGACCACAACTCTTTGTGTGCAGCCATACAGCAAGTTCTTTATCCACTGAGTCGTCCATCCATAAAATTAGTGTCTCTCCAATTTAGAGAGAAGGAGGTCGTGTGGGACAGTGTCGAATGTTTTGAAAGCTGTACTGCTTCTGTTATTCGAGTATACTTTGTTACTGTGGCTTTAGATATAAAAGATATGTCAGTATGACTTATTCTTGTACGTAAAGGAAAATAAACTGCTAATATAAGGCACTTTTTTCCTGCGTGTACTAAACTTACTCAAGGTTATAGGGCCGTAAGTACTCCAGACAAGGAAAAGCTAGACCTAACTGTACTAGTTTCATGGTGCAGGAGTTGTGTGTAGACTAGGCTGAAAAACTTACTTGTTTATGTCACAAAAATGTTTATAAATATGTCATCTAATACCAAGGGAAGGAAGATAGGGAGGTATAGTACTCTTCTGGACAAACCAGTGTTCATGGTTTGAACAGACATATTCTTTGCTGGGTAAAATCTTGCTGGATGACCAAACATCATTGGTCAAACAAGTGTACTCTTCTGGACAAACCAGTGTTCATGGTTTGAACAGACATATTCTTTGCTGGGTAAAATCTTGCTGGATGACCAGACCAAACAAGTTGTGGTGAATAAAGTCCAATTGGTGACTGGTTACAACTGGTGTTCCCCGGAGCTTAGTATTGGGGCCAGTTTTGTTTAATATCTTTATCAATGATCTGGACAAAATGACCTAGTGCACCCTCGGTCAGTTTGAAGACAACACCAAGTTGGGAGGGACTGTTGATCTGCTGGACAGTACGAAGTGTCTGCAGAGGGATATGAACAGGCTGGATTGACAGTCTGTGGCCAATTGTATGAGGTTCAATGGGGCAAAGTGCCGGGTCCTGCACGTGGGTCACAAAAACCCCATGCAATGGAACAGGCTTGGGGAAGAGTGACTGTTTGACAGAAAAGGACCTGGGGGTATTGACCAACAGAAGACAGAATATGAGCTGTCAAGTTTCTCCAGGTGGCCAAGAAGGTAAAAATCATCCTGTCTTGTATCAGAACTAGTGTGGCCAGCAAGACTAGTGAAGTGATCATCCAATTGTACTGAGTACTAGTGAGGCCACACCTCCAAAACTGTGTTCAGTTCTGGCCCGTTCACTACAAGAGAGATACTGAGTTGCTGGATTGGGTCCAGAGAAGGGCAGCAGAGGTTAATGGTTGGACTATGTGATCTTAAAGGTCTCCTCCAACCTAAATGATTCCATGATTCTGTAGTGAATACTTCTCAGAAATCCTTTGCCTGTCAGCACATCAAATCCTCATTTACATGACATAGCACTGAGAAACGTCTGCCTTACCCACGATGTAATTTATTACTCTAGTAGGTAAGAAGCTTCATTGCAACAGTAACATTCACATTAACTTGGATATGTTGTTGGGTAAGGACCATATGAAGACATTTTTCCAGTGACTAAAATAATCTTAAGGCATTCCAGGAATACTAAATACCTATCAACCAACCTAAATATCTATCTGTATCTCAATCTGTTCTGCCTAAACCAGAAGTATGACAATCTCAAGAGTATTCATTATAGTTAAAATATGCCTCATGATGGGTGCTACTGTCATGGCTTATGACCTGTTCAGAAATCCCTAAGGCATTTTCTTAAATTAGTCAAATGGACCTGTAAGAAAAAAATAAAATTTATTCCTTTCTGTCTTGCTTCAAACTGTATGGGTTTGATTGGTTCCTACCTGGCTTTTTTAATGTATAATTCACTAGTTGCTTGGAGCAAACATTTGTTTTCTTGGATCTTATGGAATCTGTGCTGATAGCTTTGAGTCTTTTGCTAGAGGAAATGGCAGCAAAAGCAACTACCACAGAGATAAAGGGCTAGCTATTCAGCAGTTTCACATTGCTATTCCTCCTGTGTAATCATCAGAGCCGTGATAATTTACCAAAGCTTGTGATCTGACAGACTCATCTCAAAAGTACTTCTTTGTGGGATGACATTTCTCTTGTTGAATCCCAACATCCATAATAATACAATAGGCAATGAACTAGTGCTTGGCTTGCTTACTTTTTTAAATAAACATAAAAAGTAGTACACATCCGTTTTTGAAATAATATAGAGAATGCAGGACTTACTCAACCTCTTTTACTTAAGTCAGAATCAGATGTGTAGGGCAGATATCTGGCTGGATTGGAATTGAGAGGAAAAAATTGTAACACTTATTAGAAGGCAAGGAATACCTTTAATGGTTTCAGTTATGTACAAAGTGACATGGGAAGGACCAGCTACCTTCGCCTATTCCTAACTTGCTTGTTCATAAGATTAATGGATTCTATATTGACTTTAAAGCCTACGATTTGCTTGCACAAACATTTAGATATTACCTTTCAGCCTAGAGCTGCCATTCACATCTGTTTTACCAGATAACCCTTCTTTTTTATTTACGTTTGGTAATGGTCCTGTTTCTACTTCCTTACTATATATCAATTGTTGTGTTGTGGTTGTTTTGTCTTTTGGTTTGGTTTGGCCTTCTATGTTTGGGGTTTTTTTTTCCTCAGCATATGATTGAATGATGAGGAACAGCATTTCTTACATTGTTGGAAGATAACAGTATGGAAGTTTTAAATTTTTCTGAACTCACAGGTGTTTTTTTGAGAGGAAGCAACACATTAGAAAAAGCCACTCTGGAAATCAGTGTCTGGTAAACATTTAATGAAAATTCTAGGTGAAGCAGAGTGTCTCCTTTGGTTGAAATTGGGGAAGATTTGGTTTCAGTGGAACAAAGCCATCCACAAAATGTCTCATACACACAGCATATGTTATGATTATAGGAAAAAAATGCTACTAGTTCATGATATAAATCATTTCAGTTATGCCCAGACCAAGGTGACCTAACTTCAATGTTTTTGAATATAGTGTTACAGTGACCTTATGATCATTAAAGAAATAAAGAATAAAAATAAGAAGATAATGAGGGCTTGGTTTCTCTACAATAACTTTTATTACTGTGAAAGGCTCACTTTCTTTTGCTACAGGAGACAGCTACTCATTTGTAACATTTGGTTCTTTCCTATTTTGTTGTTTAACTAAACAGAAAAGTCCAGACCAAAGTCATCCTGCTGTGTTTCCATAGCACTATTCAAGAAATGACAAAAATATGCCAGACATCAATTTTATGAACACCTGCCAGCTGCCCAACAACATGAGAAGTAAAATACATTCATGCGTAAAACGTCACAGAGAAGCTGAAAAGGATGGTAATACTATTGATTCCCAAATACAGTGAAAGACTTCAATGAAAATGGCTACTGACTTTCCTATATTAAGCTTCTAGCTATAATATTCTACATATAAACAGGGAACATTCATTTTTAGGAACAATGTAATTTATGAATATGTGTTTAAAGTAGTCTTAGCAATAAATAGAATTTCACTGAGATTCAGGATTAAAAGACATGCTAAAACTATCTGGCAGAACTTGTCAGATTTATTGTTTGGAATCTAGTTTCAAAAGTTTTCTCCACTTCCTGAAGATAGATGTGATTAGTTTTTAAATAATATCCAAATAAACATATTAAACTGCCTTACAAATCAGTAGCGGTTAATTTTCTAGCGTTTTGTTTCAGAGTTAGTGCAACCAGATCACCAAAAGTACAAACAGCATCTATTTGCATTTAACTTTAAGAAAAACCTGACAGGTGAAATCTGTGTAAAGGATGCTTCACAGATTTAATTGTCATTGAATAGAAGTCTAGCTGGTTTGGGCCATACGTTCACAATTATTTTGACCCACAGGTTTCTGACTGGTGTTAGAATTTCAGACTAGTCAAAAATCTGGTATGAAATTAACCAGAGTCTAATTTAACATAAGATCTTGCACTGCAAGAGTAATTCATATGCTTCAGCATAACTTGAAAGCATTACAGCCTCAATCCTATTACAATTTCCTTTCTTTTTTTTTTTTTTTTATAAGGTCATCTTTTATGAAAGCACAGGACCTTGGAGCTCAAACGCATCCCACTTCTATTTAACTAATCATTTTAGTAATGCTCCTTAATGTAGCAAGCAACAGTTCTATAATGAGAATGAAGCACGCATTCTCCACTTAAAAGAAGGCATATTCAGAGGGTAATTACAGTTCACAGTTTATAAACCTATAAGTGTTCCTTAGATTTCTTACTCACTTGTTTCTGTGGCTGTAATGGTTATATTGTGCCAAGAAGCTACCTCTCGGTCCAGAGGTTTAGTTGTAATGATTGTTCCATTGTGTTCATTGATGCTGAACAATCTCTTTAAATACATGCCATGGACAATAGAGTACCTGCACAGAAAAAAAGTAAAGAGATTCCCTAGTACTGAAATGTTCCATGAGAGGCAAGGACATAGAAAGCTATTGTCAGCTGAGAAAAGAGAGCTGTGCATATATACATATAAATGTGTGCTACAACAACTCAGATCATGAAAAATGTACACTTATAAACATTTAAAACTCACTGCTGTCAAGATCAAAGCTCTTCTTTTCATATAACTAAATATGTCTCAGATCTATGAATCTGAAATGCATTATTCATTCTTACTTCTAAGTCAGGCTCACAGCAGGTGAATGACTTCATTGACAAGAAACAGCAAAAGTGCCACTTGTGAAATGAATAACACTAACAGCTAAGTGGAGGTATAATGGCAAATCTATTTTATCATTGCTGACATGCTCTGATGCCAAGGGAACAAGAAAGACAAACAACTATCTGTAATGAGGTGACACCTAGACAGAGTACAAAATCATAATACAAGAGATGATTTCATATGAGTCCAGTGTCCCTGAATCTTCACTGAAAAGGCACTGGATGCTATGTCCATATGTGGACATGCACATGCACACATACATACATACATACCATTCAAATTGTTAAAGTCTAACCACTGGTCACAGGCCAGAGATGGACTGGAAAAGACACCAAAGATACTGGTTCAAATGGAAAGGATATTTACTAGTATTTTTCATGATATACAAAAAGAAGACCATGTGTCACAGTTCCTAGTAAAGTCTATTTCATGGATATAAAACCTCTTTGAAGATTTGAAAAGTTTTTACCATTCCAGTTTGGAATTCCCACATGCAACTATTCCCTCTTATATTGTACCTTTAGCTGTGCTTGACAAAGTCTTTCTTTCTCCTCTTGGCACTTAGGATGGCAGCTCAGATTATGTGCCAGGGGTTGGATGACTCTCTAACTCATTATTTATAGTTACATTTTGTCTGTTTTTAAAATCAGTAAAAGGATAAATCAAGGAACCAGCACAAAACAGTCAGTGAAAGTTCTTATTTGACCCAAAGATTTGACATTTATAAGCTTCTATTTTAGGGATTTACAATTCAATATCTACTTTTTTTGTTGTTTGTTTTTTATGTGAGTATTCCTTATCATCTCTATCCAAAGCTTGTTTAGAGTTTTCTCACATTAGTGTTTTGTTTTGCTTATTTGTTTGTTTGGGTTTTGGGTTTTTTTTAATTACAATTAATTCTTGATAGAGAAATTTCAGAAAAGCAATATTGGATATTTTACGTTAATTTTTATTATTGATGGAGTGAGTTTTTGTCACGTCTTCTTCCACTTTGTTTGAAAACTGGGGTTCACAAGGCAACACAGCTGCTTTCTATATTATAAGCAACTGCTGTCATTTGTGATAGCAATGATTTCAAAATTAGATTCATATGCATGGCATTTCACCCAATAAACATATATTTACATTAGAAGTGACATACTCTATTTTAAAGAAACTCGGTGATGTAACATAGGCATTGCTGCTTTGAGACTATGTAGACATATTTGCTTTGTAGCAAATTCCATCAAAATATTTCAAGTTAAGAAGTCATAGATTGCACTGTTTAAATATTTCACAAGAGCTGTTTCAGTCATCTAAAAAAACAACAGAAAAAAGGCCTCTTTTTTAAAAAAAAGGTGTATGTATATTTTTGTTTATTCTTATTTAATTTAATTTAACCTGTTACTAGCTTACTTAATAATAGTAAATGAATGCAAAATCATAACAAATGACCTTGCATTGACTAAACCCTTGAAACCGTAACTATAGGTACATATATATATATATACATGTACACACATAGAATCATAGCATCATAGAATCATAGAATGATTAGTTTTGTAAAGGACCTTAAGATCACCTAGTTCCAACCCCCCTGCCATGGGCAGGGATGCCTCATAGTAGACAATGTTGCCCAAGGCTCTGTCCAACATATATATATATTTCTCCTATTAGGAATCTACATGCCATTAATTATTTTGTGTCTCATCCATTTGTCCCTGTATCCTATCTTGTCAAAATTGCACAGTACATAGTGTCATCAAGCAATTCAAGAAGCTGTTGTAATTATAAACCCCATATTGAAGACTAATTACCTGTTTTCTCTCTCAAGAGACAGCAAAATTATTTTGCAAAACTGAAAGCCTGGGGGGCTCTTTTTATATCATCTCTCTCTGGGGCAATTGTGGTAGATGTAAGGAGTTAGGAAATTTTTAGTCATGCTGAGTTTAACAAATGCTAGAGGAGCTGTTCTGTGTCTCTCTCCCAGTGAGTCCATCTCTCTGTATCTCCAGATTATTTGGAACAGACTGGAACACCTCCAAGTGCTTACAGGTTTGGCTGTGGTACCATAGCTCTGCTGCTGTGCACAGTCTCTTCCAGGCCACTGTCTAAAATATTGTTCTATCTCAAACTGATTGCAAAGATGCACAAAGCCTATTTATATAGATTTCTGACTAGGGGTCAGGATTTAACTACTGTACTGGTTTTGGATGGGATAGAGTTAAATTTCTTTGTAGCTTGGATGAGACTGTGTTTTTCATTTGTGATGAAAACAGTGTTGATAACACAGGGATATTTTGATTATTGCTGAGCATTTCTTACACAGTGCCTACATATTTTCTGCTTCTTACACCACCCCACTAGTGAGCTGGCTAGGGGTGCACAAGAAGCTGGGAGAGGACACAGCTGGGACAGCAGACCCCAACTGAAGAAAGGGATATACCATACTAATGGCATTGTGCTCAGCAATAAAACTAGGAAGGGCTGCATATTGGCCAGCCTGTTCATATTTTGAGTACCTGACTGGGGAGTCATCATCATCTGGATCTCTAGCAGTTACAACGCCCACCAGTGAGCCACTCATAGCCCCTTCAGCAATCTCCATCACATAATTCTCCATGGTGAAAACTGGAGGTTCATCAGCATCTTCCACATTAATTTTGACAATAGTTTTGTCTTCAAATGGTCCTTCTTTCAGAAAACGGTCATCAATGTACCTGTTTACAACTTTTGCTCCAATACTGTATCTCCTCTTACTTTCATAATCCACTGTCTGTGAAGAAAGAAGGTGAGAAGTGGAATTGTTTTTTTTTTTCTTTACATTTGAATTAAATACAGTTCATGAAGTGGTGTGATATTAAAAACAAAAAAGTGCTACCCTTCTCTTGGGAATTTGTCAAAAGGAGTTACTGCTAAGATTTTTTTCTTAAGTTAAAAACACTTTAAATTGTGTTATGCCATCTTTTTGTTTTCACATGTAGGCTGCCTTTAATGTTACAATTAAACACTGAAAAAGAAGTTTTCCTGTAGAATGATAGCCCTAAGAAAAACAACTTCTATTAATACTTGGTTCACTAAGTTTGAAACTGATGTAGGTGTAACTTCAGTGACCACCGTTGTTTACTTTCCCATAAGAAATGGGTCAGTTAATCTGCAGGGGTTAAGAGGATTATGTTAAAATATAGCCTTTAAAAGAAATAAATCCCAAAAGTCAACAATGAGTGTTTAATAAACACATTACTATTTATAAGCACATTACTATTTTATATAGTCATTATCTTCTGTAATTAAAAAAAAAAAAAAAACAACCCTGAAATAAATACCTTCCTGTGTTGTAATAAATCCAAACAGAGAACAGAATAAAACCCCAAACTATCAAATTTATAGCATTCAGTTCTTCAGGGTCCTGGATCTCACTAGACTATCAATCTCTATCACCATTTCAGATGATGACCCAGAAATCTTCCTATTTGATTCCAAAATAAATCACACAGTACCAAAGCCTCTGAAATATTTTAATTCATAAACTGGTATCTTTTCTGAGACAAGTATCTTTTCAAAGCTATGTCATAACAAAAACACCACTGACTAATATTGTAATCCATTCCAGCTTCAGTTAAGTTTAACAAAAGGTGTTCGAAGCGAGGAAATATTGTGCAAGATTTATTGATAAAGATTTCACAAATGGTGCACAAAAGAACATTTTCTCACAATGGGAATATACTGTTGCACAGCTAGGAATAACATTCAGATATTCTGACCTCCACTGTTGTATGCAGCAGTAATAGGAATGAGTCAAAAAATGTAAAGAGAAAAAAAAAGCATGTTTCTTTTTATTCCCCCAGTATCTTAATCAAATCACAAAGGCTGAAGAAACAAATAGAATGCAAAGCAATAGGCCTGCTTTAAACATCCAGATTGCTTGAGGAGGGTCATTCCACTATTCAGAGATCTTTTAGAAGGTTTCTGAGATCTTACCTTTTTCAGTAAGATAATTCCTTCTTGAGTCTCATTGTTAGTAATGATGTCAAAAACATCTGAACTATCTCCTTCAATGGAATAGTTCATGGCTGCATTCTCCCCTATGTCACTGTCTTCTGCAAAGACTTTGCCTATAGTAGTGCCCACAGGAGCCTCTTCAGAAACACTCATATAATAGAGTCCTAAAGAAATAAATACCAGCACAGTTTAGTGAACTGCCATGGTTAATAGCTGCTGTAGCTATGACAGCCTAAGGATCTCAGAAATTTGGGAAAGTCAAGACATATTTTACAATAGGGACGGTGAAACATTGGAACGGATGGCCCATAGAGGTGGTAGATGCCCCATCCCTAGAAACATTAAAGGTCAGTCTGGACAAGGCTATGCACAACCTGGTGTGGCTGCAGATGTCTCTATTCACTGCAGATGTGTTGGAATATATGACCTTTAAAGGTCATTTCCAAACCAAAGGTTGGAAAGCTGTGATTCTATTCTATGATTCTATTAACCACTAGGGTGAAAAAATAGTGAAGGGCAGCACTTCCCTACTGTATTTCACTAGTTCTTCCTGACAGCACAGCTAGCAGCTCCCAGGTCTGCTAGAAACTCCCTGGACAAAGAAGGTCACCTCATTTGCCAAAAAGTTTACGGTATCTGTCGGCAAAGAATGAAAAAAGGAGAAAAAGAAAGAAAGTGAGTTAAAATGGTACTAAATATCCTGTAGCCCAGATTTTTAGTCTTAGATAGAGCAAACTGTATGGAAAGCAGTTTAGTAAGTCATTTATTTCCAAAGGCTAGTGATAAAAACAGCAGGCCTGAGGTCTTTTGTAATGATAAGTTTCCTTTCATTTTTGAGCTTTGTATGGAATTAATTCTATTTTTATTTAAATCTATATACTGAACTCAAAACACAGACCTTCCAGTGAACTTAACAGTTATAGTACATCTAAATATTCTCAAGACTTCAACTATTTTAAGTAACCTGTACTCACGCTGTTGAAATTTAGGTGGATTGTCGTTGATATCAGAGAGGTTGATGGTAACAGTGGCTGTTGTTGAAAATGCCCCTGCTTGCCCAACCATATCTTTGGCTTGGATGATGACCAAATACTGATCTTTTGTTTCTCTATCCATTTGGGAAGCCATTCTGATGACTCCTAAAACCGAAAAGTATAATATAACAACATATAATAGTCCCATTTATTTGCTAATATCTGACCATATATTATGGGTATAACATGCATCATTTGGTGATGTTGTTAATTTACACACACAGTACACTGTCCTAATAGTGTGAATTAGTATCCATGCTATCAACACCTATGCTGTATGACAGATACATTCTGCATACTTTGAGATGTGGAGAGTAAAACACAACATATATCTCCTCCATCATATATAATCATCTTTCTTCACCAGCAATCAGGATTTTTGGAGGGATATCACATACCTGTGGTTTCTCTAACACAAGAGATAGGAATGTCGCATAATGAGCTCTAGAGTTGTTAACCCAGAATTTTTCCTAGGTCTATTTGCTGGATGAGGTACTCAGAATCCAACTCATTTCTTTAGCAAGATAATTTTCTGAATAAATTGTTAGTTCTTCAGACAGAAAGAATTTCAGAGAAAGAATTGATTGGTTTTAAGATCTACGACCTATGCAAAGATGCATAAATGTAAGGTGGTATCAGTTGATGTTTGTGTTGAAATGAAGACATTTTGCATCTATTTCATGTTATTTTATTAATGTTTTCAAGTTACAAGATAATTTGTAGTACCTGTCTTTGGCTCCACAGAGAAATAAGGCTGTCCCTGAATGAGACTGTAAAGTAGACGGGCACTATTCCCATAAGAAGGATCATCATCATCTGTAGCTGTTACCTGTATAACTGAAGTACCTTAAGGAAAAATAAAATAGGTTATGCTTATTTTCTTCTTGTATAAATTACAAAATATAAGATCTTTAAAAAAAAACCCAAACTTTTAACATACCAGTTGTATTACCAAACAGTCCTGAAAATTTACAGGAGCAAATGACACCTTCTAAGACTTATCAGTAAAAAGGGAAAATAGTTCCTTAGCAATCATTCCTGTTGCATTCAAATTTTCAATTAAAATAAAAATAAATAGTGTATGACTTTTCAGCACTCTATGTTGGTTAAAAGACTATATATCTTCTGATATGTGAATGGAGTACAGAAAGTTGTTTCTCTTCCACTTATATATTCTACAAAGTATTTTATGGAAGTAAGCCCACTGGTTGTAAAGAAATTGATTGTTAGCAAGCACAGTAGCCAAGAAGTATAACAAGGCTCTGATAATATTTTTTATACTTGAGTCTTTAATGAGTCTGTCTCAGTGCAAGAGTGACAGCAGAATCCGTAGTGCAAAACCATAGCAGAATCACTCTGCAGAGCTTGATTCCATCTCTGGCTGGAAACTGGTTATATCCTAAATACAAGACTGACAGCAATCTCATGGCACCATCAGTAAAGACTGTCCTTTAGAAGAAAATATTCACAGTAACATCAGTTTGTAAGGTAATCATTACTTTTGTCTTTTTTTCCTCATCTAGGTTCTGCATAAGGATACAAATATCGCTTCTTGTAAGTAACAACAAGTAGTCAAGCTACTTTTTAAAACTTTCTGGCATATGTTCATATGGTTGCACTTGCTTACCAGTATAGCTGAGGAAGAAAAGAAGAAGAAACTATGGCATGCAAAGATTTAGATCAGAAACACTTTTTTTTATGACAACTCAAGGTTGATACTTATCTCCAATAAAACAAATACATTTATTTATGAATTTTCTAGCAGTTCAGAAGTTTTATTTTTAAATAGAAGTTAAGAAGGCTTTCTCATATAAGGATATGTTGAATGAAATATTTTGATTTAAGAAAAAAAATCTCTTGCATTTTGTCTCAGTGTATTCAGCAGCACTTCGAGTGATTCCATAATGTATATTATCTTCTCTCAGAGTAGAGGTAGATGAAAACATTATCAATTGCCACTAACTTTTGGAGTTATATGTCCTTCAAAACATACCCACAATACCAAATTTCTCACATATAGATATGTTTAAATATGTGTGTAGTTATATATGCATATACATACTGCTTCTTATTCCACTGGGGAAATGTTACATTTAAAATGACAGATTAATATTTAATCATTGCACATATATGATTCAGAAATAACAGTATTCTTTGAAAAGACTGAAGGGTAAAGGAAATCTTCAGCTACTAAACTGTTAATTTTGTGTCAGCTATTGTCTATGGAAACTGTTCTAATACAGGAAATTCATCCTGTAAGACAATTTAATATTACTTGAATGCAGTTGCTTTGGAAAAAAGGAAATAATGGAGTGCTAGTAAGGAAGGGAACCATGAATAATACAATAGGTACAGTCTGTTATAAATGCCATTTTTTACTAAATAAACCCAAGTGCCCACAACTATGTTTAGAAATTGACTTGTCTACGGCACCATATTTAATAAATCAGGAATGAAATCCAACATATATAGGACTGCAAAGTTATCATTACGGCTTTTGTGCATCTCACTCATTTAAAGGTAGATACATTTTATGCATGATTTCTAACTATTAGAAATGTTAATCTAAACCATCTTTTGCTACTTATCTAAGCCCCAGACTAGTTTTTTCTTGCCTGTTGACTCTTCCAGAGTATAGCAGAAGGCAGAAGCATGGAATTTGCCCAGTTGAGCTCAGTAAGATGCAGCTGGTGGATATAATGAAAAGCTGAGCAGGCAAGGGGCACCTGCTAAAGGGGAAGATGACCTGGAGGAAAGCAATAGCAGATATCCTGTGCTTTCAGGAAGAAGATTATTTCTTTATAGAGTTAAGCTGCAAAAAAATGCAAGTCATTTGCTGAATGGAGTCATATTTTTCTACACATTTGTATTTTAGTGATAGAAATTACAATGTTAATGTTATGTAGTCAGAAACTCCAAAATGCCATTTTTTTGTAACTCCGTGGTTGGGAGAAGAATAATTGATCAGATACAAATAATATCTTTAAAACAATCAATTAATACAGAATCACCTCACAAACAAACAAACAAAACCAAAAAACCCAAAAAATCCAACTCTTGACATTGCAGGCATGACACGATGTAACTGACAATTGAACTATGATACATTTTAACAACATGCATGTGAAAATGGACATCACGGCAGAGGCCGTGTGGCCATGTGAGGGGGCTTTCAAACATGCATTTTTGAATATGGGAGTCTGTGTGATGTTGATGTAAATTTAGACCCAAATATATGTGTTTCTTGTAAGTAATGTCTTAAACTAGATAGTAAACATGCTTACACATTTTTTGCTTTCTATTGTCTTTATTTAAGACAAGCTACATTTTGCTGATTGTTATATAAGATTTGTCTTTGTATTTCTGAAGCCTTGGTTTTACCTTTAGACAAGACATAGTAGTGCCATTTATATATTGCAGGCCATTAGGTAGGCAACAGGACCCTCATATGACAAATTGTTATTATTTTCTCTAACTGGAGCTTTAAATTTATAAAAACATTAAATACTGATGTATTATTGCATGTGACTCTTAACTATTTTGTCAGATATACTGCATTAGTAGAAGTTTAACAGGTATATCAAAGATACTTAATGTAGAATTGTACCAAATGCCTGAGGGAAGATCACAGTCCTGTGTTATCAGAAGAGTTCATTTGCTGATACGCTTTTCATTTACTGTGCCACTTGCAAAGAAAATCTTAATAAAATTTAGTACTGAACATAAAAAAGAGACAAGAAAGAAGTAAAATATATTCTAATCTGTTTGCCTATTAGTGTATTTATATTGATATTTCTGCCTAACTTTAGGCAAAATTATTTGCATCTATTTTCTTTTTTTCCCGAGGTTCTCTGAGACAAGTGGCCAGCTGTGAATAATTCAGTCCTTGTTTTCTTAGCTTCAGACAAAATGTTAACTAACAGTGAACTGCTTTCCCAAGTATTGATCACACTTGCTGATCATGTTTTCTGTGAGGAAATTACTCAGACATTCCAGATGTAACATCAGTGAGTTGAACTGCTAGAGAGCTCTGAAAAAGAGCAAAATGCAAGTGTACTGTACTGTATTATTTAAACTAATTCCAGTCTACATCCCTTGTTATGCAAAAGGATGTTCTATTTTACTGGGGGAAAAGCACTGATATTGCTGCCATTATGGTACCAATGCTGCAAATTTTAGTTGGTTACTGTTTCTTCCTACTGGGAGCTTAGAAATTTCCTTTTAAGGGTTAATGCTTTAAGATGCACAGTGAAGCAGGTTTCAGTATAAACTGTTAAACATGACTCCACTTACATTCTATATGCCAGATATACACAGTAGTACACCAGTAGAGTAGTATTGTGTAGCATTACATGGAAAAGCAGGTAAATGATCTCTGAAATAGCTACAGTACTACTGCTGGAGATGTAAAACATAGAAGAAGCAGTGTAGAAAACATATCAAGATCCACAGGACTGACTTAGATTCACGTACCATATACTGGACGATTGCAAATCTGAGAGTTTCCTATTTCAGGTAGTCTGTGTCTGAGAGAGAAGACACACATATACTGACCAGTGCAATGTGGTGTTACTTCTGATTTTTATTTTTTTTTTTTAATATGCCTATCATCACGATGGGAACTCATCATTAAGACAGAAAGATAAAATAGAAGGAATAAGTAAGTAATTTTTAATATATTTCTTTGGATGATTACGGAACTGTGTGAGTTTAAATCAAGTTATATTAAATTATCAGCTATTTTAAAACCATTTTTGTAAGAGACTAAATGCTTCATAAACATTTTACAAAAAAAAAAAAGGAAAAAGGGCATTGTCAAAGTCCTAAATCTGTGTAATACCAGATAAAAATACCCAGATAATTCTAGACAGTGAACTATGCTCATTATTACTGTGAGCACAATTTAAAAAAATAAAGTGCGAAAGTCCTTGATAAGGCACCTATTTTCTCATCTCCAAACCTGCATGAATGAGCAAGATGCAAAGGCTAGAGGTACCCTCTGAAGAACCAACTGATTATGTTAGGAAAAAGTAATTTGACCAAAACCTCGGATGCAGGAGTCTGTAGACAAATAAGTCTGTCTGCATGGAAGAAAATGGCATAGAATATGGCGAACACATGCAAAAGTGATTTCCCTGGTAGAAGGCAGTATAAGCAGTATGACTAAGGAATAAATTGATTAAATGGATATCTTTTGTAGCTGGTAGTGTCGGTGAGCTACTGCTTCAGGATACTAACCCTACTTCTGATTAAATCCCAAGCATGAATATCCTTTTCCTTCAAGTCCTATCCATTCTGGCAGATGAAGATAAAGTTTACAGCTCCCTGTGAAAGATTCACTGAATCTGCCCTAAAAGTTGAACAGGTAATGCTAAATGAAACATAGTTTTTATTACCTTTTATGATCACTGATGTTACTACATTAATGACCTCATTAATTCGTACAGTTTTAAATAGCACAATATTTGAATTTTTTTAATATTATTTGTAAAAGAAATAACCCAAAGAAATAGGGGTACAAATTTAAAGCATTACTGGGATTGCTTCTGTAAGACTTAAAGAATCCCGTTTTCCTTTGATTTTTTAAGATAATTTTTAAACTTATCTTAAAGATAAATTTCTTTGATTAAGAAATTTATTTGAAGATAGCAGTATCTGTAACATGTTTTTTTATGTCAGCTGCATTCACCCTTTGGCTTCCTTTAAGGATTTATATGTATGCTATAGACATTATGTATACATATGTGTATGTACACATATATGCATTATACACCTATTTTTGTCAGATGTTGGTTTTGTTTCATATTTATTGTATTAAGTTTCCAGATACATGACAGATCCTAGTACAGGTCTGTTTGACCATGTGGAGGTGGGAAAGAAGAATTGTTGGGTTTAAGTTATTCCTTTTGACAAGAAAATTGCAATTCATGTGCTTAGGAAATCAGAAGAGAAGCTGACTGATGGCCTGGCAGTATAAGTAAGTAGGCATCATACATGGCTAAGGATGGTCATGACATCAGCCCCACATCACCTTCATACCATTCATGTTCTGAACCCATTACTTACAAGAAAGAAACTATCCCTACCTTTGGGGATGTGTGTGTGTGTGGAAATCCTGAGTGCCTGTAATGTGAATGTGATTCTTTTTCAATTACAGTACAATATGATTTATACTACACAGGGTGTAATAAAGACACATTATTTAATTTTAATTATTAAGCAAAATCAGAATAGACTGAACAATGCTTTTGAGTACTTTTCAGTTCTACCAGGCTTATATTTATGTCTCTAAAAGAGTCAGACCAGGTCAGAGAGCTTTACGTGCATACTACCTTTCTTTCAGATTGTTAGAAGCCTGAAGAGCTGACAGGTTGCAACAATAATCATACACTGAACATTTTTTCTAGAATCTAGAGTGCTGTATTGAATAAAAAAGTAGTGAAATCTGTCAATCCCACGTCTCCTCTAGAGCATCAACTGGCTATAGTGCTCTACCTATTTCAAATTATAATCTTATATTTTTAAATGAGTACTCATTTCAAGGCTGCATCACTGATGAGAAAGACAACTCTCTATAGTCAATCCAAGCATGTACCCATATTCTTTAAAAGGACTTGAATACATGTAGATACCTAAATATTTAAAAGCAAGGATAATAGAGGTGTGCACAACCTTCAGTTTAAACATATACCTTTGCAAATTTCCAAGCTTGTAAAATAGTTTGTTTCCTTCTCACTGAAAAGCAGTCTATAAAATATACTATTAAAATTTTATATCAACATAGCAATCAGGAAAATAATCAGGAAATAAAGAGTTTGGTTCACAGCATGCAGTACCTTCAGGTGACATCTCTGGAACAGTAGCCACATAAGGTCCATCCAAGAACTGTGGTTCATGATCATTCACATCTCGAACCTTGATAATAAATTCTGATTCCAGTTCAACAGGAAGCTGAGTGCTCCTGTTAATTGCTTGTGCTCTTAGAGTGTAGAAGGGTTTCTTTTCTCTATCCAGCTTTTGTGTCACGTAAATTTTGCCGTTATTTTCATCAATGATAAAAATGCTTCCAGCTCCCTCCCCAGTTAAAGTGTATTTTAGGTTGCCATCCTGCGTGTCTAAATTTGATTGCAGCTGCAAATACAAACCACAAAAAATAAGCCAAATTTTGGGAGGCATAAAGTTTTGGGATTTGCATTGTAGGTTTTGTTTTATTTCATTCTACAGTGAATCCTGTCATTAGTGAGCCTTCTTGGATACTAATATTTAAAAGAGACTACTGACACATTTTCATCCAGTCATGGCTCAATTTTTAAGTATTCATATAACAGATATATAAATCCATGGTGAACCTGAAAAAAGATGCTTCAGTCACTTTGAAGTGAAGAGAATGAATGTAAGTACCTACTTGACTTTATTTCTCTATCAGCTTTCATAAACTTCTGCCGAAAATGATGTGAAAGTTATTAAACATTATCTAAATTTTTTATTATTACAAATGACAAGTGTACTTTGTAAGTTTTATGTATTTTTTTGTACTTAGCAATACTAAGTGTAAATATGAAAGATAGTTCTATTTCTGTTGAAATATTAGAGAGATGAAATGCCATTCTGTAGTATAAGCCTGTATTATTTATTTCGAAATAAATTGATAGACATTTTCCATTTCCTTCCAGGAATATCTGCATCCTCTGTTGTCTTACTAAGATGAACTTTATGATGATGATTCACCTGATGAAGCTGAGCCCTGGAGACCGCTGTGGTCCAGCTTCATTTTTTCATGACAACAAACCAGTTCTGTTCATGTTAACAATATGTAACTACTTTTTAAATAACAATAACTTAATTTCTTAACGTGTCAAGCATCCATAGTTAATTTTTATGGAAAGAGCAATTTCTATCATATCATTAATTGTCTAATTTTTTCTTTATTTATTTTGGATTTAGAACAAAAGATATCAAATCTCTAAGGGCCTGGATGATCACTGAAAAATCCAATGGGAAGGAATAAAAAAGTTTTATTCAACCTACTTTTCCTACAAAGAAACAGGTTTTAAATACAAATAATATGTCTACCTGTTGACATCAATATCCTCACCATTTTGTTTAATGCTTATTAACTCTAAAGCTCAGTGTAGGATATGACGCCACAGAATGTGAAAGTAACTACAGATGTAAAGGGCGCATTTTTTATAATAGCTTCTGAGGCTGCAAAAATCATTTGAACTTTTCTTTTGAACAGTGTCCGTGCCTTTTGAAGATTTTCCTAGTTCATTATTGTCTGCATGTGTTAAATGGACAGTTTATTCACAATGTGACTGGGACACTGCTCTGAGATATGAGGAACAGTTTTGAGTTCCTGCTCTGATTTCTGCCAGAGTATTTAATCACTAAATTATACAGAGTTAATTCTTGCCAGTACAAAAGAGAGGGCTAGGCAATTTAGAACTGTTTAAAATATGAACTAGTTAAAGTCGAATGTTTTAAAACTAAGTAGTTTTGTGCAAAACATGAGGCAGATTTCACCCTTTATGAGTGGTCCAGCTATATTCATTTTAACACCATATAAATTTGGTATCTGGCTAGGGGGCACCACAGATTTTTTTTGATCCATAATCTTGGTTTTGTCATGAACCCCAGGGCATGAGATAGGCGGTGTTTATCTAGGTCTTTAACCCAAGATGGGGTTCAGATGTGATCACAAAGTGCACCAAACACTTAGAGAATAGAATTGTGCCTCACACTGCCTTTTTAGACATAACCTGTGTTGAACCACTTCATGCAGCACCATTTATCCCAAAAATACTTTCATGACCCTGACCATGTTAAATAAGAACTCTTTTACTGATGTTATTTGCTGAGAAAGCATAGTTAAGGTCCTCAGTTTACCTGGTTTTATTAACCTAGACAGAAAAGAATTCATTGTCTTTTTGTCATAAATGAGAAGTAGGAACAGTTACTTAAAAATAGACTGCCTACCTGTTTATTTTCATTGATGTAGTCTTCTTCAGGGCCTTATTTATTAAAAAATTGTGTGTTGATTATAAACTATAATTTCATTTACTGAAAGCAAAGCATAGTCTACTCAGTAAAAAGACACAAGTACATATGTCCTATTAGACAGTGCTTAGACTGCAATAAATTAACTATAACCTCCAATAATAATTCTCTATAGTTTACCTGTGAGAAATATAAACAAGAAATTATGAAATTTTTCTAAAGCTGTATGAAAATATAGGACATTTATGAAGTTTCTTTACAAGAAAATGTTTTCAAGCTATGTGAAAAGTAATAGTAATTAAAAAAATTAGTATTTCTACACTTTCTTTCATAGAAGTGTGAGACATCACACTTCTATAGTAGTTACTTCAAAGAAGCTGTGAAAAAGTAATTAATGAATTTTGAGCACTTCACCCTTTGGGCCCAATTAAATTTTAGTGCTAGTTAATTGGCAGTTAAGCTTATTTTAGTTCATTCATCTAGAAATTGCCTTAAAGAAAAGAAAACTAGATCTCAAGATTACAATTACTTCTAGCATACAGAAAAAAGTAAATAATAATAATAATAATCACCATCAGAGAGACAAGAAAGTGGTAGATAAAGCCTATCTTAAGACAATTAAGACAATTATCTTAAAGCACAATTTTAAAGGAGGGTGAAAAATAATTGCTCCTTGTGCTCAACCTACGTTAATCTAATGAACCATGTAGATTCCTGTAGTTTCTCAGTGGTAAAAGGATTTAGTATTAATCTGCTTCATTAAAAATTAATGAGGGGTAAATCAGCTGCTACTTAGTGTAATAGAAAATCATGCTAAATACTGTTTGTAAACTACACTGCACTCAGTATGACTGCTTTGATGCAGTGCCAAAAATAGCACAAGGAAATTGCCAGATGTTGATAAGTCCTTAACCTTCATTCAGAAAACAGAAAAGAACTTTTAATCTTGATACCTTCATCTGCTGTGTATGGAGACAGTAACACAGTGAATGTGGAGTTTCCTCCACAGCAGACCTAGGTGAAGGAAGGTCCTTGGTACTGCCACAACCTCAAGCTCTTGGAGTTCCCTGACCCTATCAGGTCATAGTAAAGGAGAGATGTGCTGCCCAATTACAGCTCCCCAAGCTTCAATTTTTGCCTTTCTTGATATTGCTAAGTTGCTGGAGTCTTCCAAGTCAAGGTAGCAAGCTGCTAATCAGCAAGTCAAATCTAACCTTGTACCGTCCTTGAATCACTACTTATCATACCTGTCCAACATACACAGGCACCACTGAAGTCTGTTCCTCAGTTGCAAAAAGTGGCTCCCATACCCAGCCACGTTTCACTCTTCGAACTGCTGTGAAAGACTGGTATGTGTTTTGAGCCAAGCAGTTCTGCGTGCTTGGAGAGCAAAGCCAAAGTTGAACCAGCAACAGTGTGAGAGATAGCAATTCAGAGAAATTCATGCTGAATTTTTCTTTCAATCAATCTTCATCTGTAAAAGAGGAGAAAAAAAGAAAAAAATCTTAGCAAAGCATGACTTCTCTTTCCACTTTTACGTATTGATTCTGTGCAAATGTAAGAGATGGCTTGCAGTGTGAAAACCTCCTCCTCTCCCTAAAAGGAAAGAGCTGGAACAAAGTCTGTTTCTGATTAAAATAGATTATCTTAGACACTCTGGCGTGAAAGTCAAGTGTTTCAACTGTCTGTTATGAATATCCCATACAGGGATATGCAAAAAGAGAATATCATCCTTCAATTAATTCATCTTCCAAATTAAGCTGGGTAATCGTATTGTGTAGCCTAGGAATAATTTGATTGAAATAATTGTATGTTTCTGCTTTGGCAGGGCTCATTTTGAGCTGCAGTCACAGAACTGCCTGAAGGGTGAACATCTAGCCTTAGTGGCCCTGGTGACTGACAGCTGAAACAGAGCAGTGAAGATAATTTTTTAACCTCTTCTTTCCTTCTTTCTCAACTCAGATAAATGCCTTCAAAAATGCCAAAGGTTGTAGGGTACCATAAGAAACAGCAAAATGTGCAACTTTCTCATCCTGATCAACAGAAATTTTCATAACTGATTTTGCCACCTCTGACATTCTTGTTTTCAATTAAACAGGCAAGGGGCAAATGCATCTTGAAAGCTGTAGTTTTTTGCAGCTAATTTCTTTCAGAAAATGAAGGCTTTGCACAAACTATATGCTATTATTGACTTTTCAGTGATTTTTGGTACAATGAATGAAACTCTGAATTTTAAATCAAGTGCAGTTCTCAGGTAAGAACAGCCATCTTCTGTGGTAAAAAGGAAAATTGTGAAAATCTTTACCACACACAGTTCTTAAACCTTACCTGACAATGGCATTAGCCATTCTCTTCAAGGTCCCAGCCTTGAAGAATAACATTTCCTATGCAAGAGCAGCCTGGTTTATGAATTTGTTACATGTCAGTCTGTTTGTACAACATACTGCAAAAAATATGTCTGCATTTACTTTAGGCCTGAAAAATCCATAAACCTTTTACCTGTACTGGATGAAGTATAAATTTATGTATTTTAAGATCATTATCTACATAATAGTATTATAACCACCAATTGTTATTCAAAGGGAAATGTCATAATCATTTAAAATGACAGACAGGCCATATAGATGACAGTTTCTTTCCTCCCATCAATTTATTCTGTTAAAATGTAATCTGCATATGTATATTTACTGAGAAAAAGATAAAGAAGTTCTAATAGTAAGGCACATAGAATTATTGGTATCAAAGTGCATGTTCCAATTTCTAAACCATTCTATGATTTTATGATTCTATGATTTTCTGGTTTTCAACTGTAAAGTTGTAACAGTGCAAGATGAGACTTGAATTGAGTGAATATGACTTGGGTACTGTCTTGTTTCATTTTTCTGTGGAAAATTGCTAATTTTCCTAAAGCTGCAAGACGAGGCCAACAAAGCTCAACTTGGATCTCAATTAAAGCTTGAGTGAGGTTTAAAAGGCCTCTCCAAGGCCTTTGGAGAGTCTCCCTGTACAACAGGTGTATTTAACACTCAGCACAGAAACTAATCTTGAAAATGAACATTCATTTTATTGCAGTACATACCAAAGGACAGACAACGAAAACCGCATAGATAAAGAGACCTTTCTGATGAATTGTAAAGAAATTTATTTCGATCATCATTTAAATAAGACAGGTGTTCACTCTGGGCCATAGGAAATGCTTCTGGCTACCATTAGCTGGTGTTTTGGCCACTTGCTCTCACACCACCCACTTTGATCAACAAACTGTTCCAGGCTTGTGGGTCAGTATTTCATGCAGAACGAATGTCAAACAGGCACTCGTTATCAAACTCATCTCACAGACACTGTGCATCCACATCAACATAGTTAGGGTGCAACTAGTGTGTGTGGGGAATAAACATGTTTAGAGTTTGACGTGTTACACACTGTTAAGTGTATAAAAAGACTGAAAGTTTGAAATACAGGTTATTGCAAAAAAACACAAAGCTATGAACAGGAATTGAGAATTAAAAGTGTTTCTGCTTTTCTCTTCTCTGTTATATCAGACATATTCAACTTGCCCTTATTTTCAGGACTTTTTAAAGCAAATTTGCTTCCAATGTCTTCCTACTCATTTGGTGTTAAGACACTGCCTCCTGCCTCTAGCCAGCACATGTTGCCATTCTTTATGAAACCAGTTGATTTCTTGTGAAACAATCACCTTCTTTCTATTCCACAAACTGTAACTCATTTGCAGAAGTTACTCTTGTAAAACATCAAGAAACTAATTTCTTATTCCCTCCTCTGCATCTAGTCTTTCCTTAAAATATCTAAATTTTAGTGTTACCTAAAGGGAAAAAAAAAGTGTTCACAGTGTTTAAAGCAATTCTGTGCTGAGACTGCTGCCGATCACAGTGACTAGTATTGTCTTGTTATTCCCTTGTACTCCTTCTGTCTTTTCCTATCCATCAGCTATCTCTTGTTTTACACATCCATTAGTTGGCTCTTGGTTTACCCTCGATTTCTAAGGTCTTTGTAAATGAAATGACCTTGTACTCTGTGTTATAATTATAATATGCAGCAGAAGGGGGGATTAGTAAAAGCACAGAGCTTTTAGGTGCTATAGTAACACACATGCACAGATAGATAAATTTTTAATAGAATAATCTCTTATTGAAAGAAAAAAATGGCAAATGCATTTTCAGAGACAAGCAAATGAGCTATCATTAATAATTTCCCAAGGGAACAAGAGAAATGGGGACAATTGTTCTGCTCCTGTTTATTCTTCAGGAAGTACATCTCCACTTTCATTTGCATCGGATTGCATTAATAAAGAGTGATACTTAGGACAGAGTAATAAGAATATAAATTGTACTCATAATAAGCAGGCCACACCTTTTAAAACAGTATCTTCCTTTTATACCCAATGAAAATCACAAGTTTCCTGTAGACTAGGGGCAGATTTACCTTCTGTTTTTTTCTAGAACGATCACTGACAATCCGTCACCATTCGAAACTGAGTATTAGTTTTAGGCATGCTGGTACTCTGACTTGGTTCTGAATTACCTCTGTTTTAATAATAGTAATTTATTTTAAATTATGATTGTGTCATTACATTGCAAAATAATACCTGTTACTGCTTAACTCTGCAAGAATAACAATTCAAAGAATAAAAAGCTTAAAAAAATAGAGTGGGATATAATGAAGTTATATATTTGCTGGAGAAGAGGGGAGAGAGAAGACTAAGGGCAGACAAAACCTTCTCATTAAAAAAATGATAAACAACTGATTACAGGGAAGGTGAAGATAAATTCTGTTCCAGTACTGTTACCCAAAGAATAATGAAAAACCCAGTTAATTTTGTAACAAAACCCCCATGATCTAAGTAAGGCCTTTTAATTAGAAGGTAACAAAACACTGGAACATGGTGACAAGGTTACTCCTTAACTAGACACCTTTAAGACCATCTAGCGTATGTACTTGATCCTACTTTACAGCAGGATTTTGAAACAGTGACTCTCGAGAAAACCAAATCTCTCTGTCCTTGAAAGTACTGATGAGAGTCAAAAATGCCAGACTGAAATACATTCCTTTTGAGGAATTTGGTGTTGTCTTTTCTTGTTTTAATAACATCAAGCAACCAACAACAAAGTGAGAAAATTCATATAAGCCAATCTAATTAATATGGAGCTTCTGAAACATATTTCTTATCTCAAGAAGCCTAACATGATAAGTTGCAAGCTCTGTTTTGTGCATTGGTGTTCTTAAGATTATAGTTAAATTTGTCTTCCTTGTATGTTGCTATCTTTAGTTTTCATTTAATAGAATAAAGATGAAAGGGTATTTGTAACTAATGCCTACAAATTACTGCATTAGAAAAGGTTTGAATGGGTGGAAACCTTAATAATTTCAACTATACGTTTGTTTGTTTGTACAATGTTTATTTTATATGGCTGATTGCTAATAATCCTACTGTATTATAGTGCTGTTGCTCTATTGTTTTTTCAGAATAGAATGTACCTGGACTTATTTGCAATGACTACTTTAGATTTCACACAATACGGTAGGCACCTAGGCTATAATACTGCTGGAAGTCCCAAAGGATTACTCATATACACATCAACTACTTTAATTAATGCATAAGGGTTTTGATTTTTTTTTTAAATAATCTGTATAGAAGAATGATAAAATCTTCCAGAGTATTTAAAGTAGTGGACGTAATCCTGTTCTTGCTGCTTCTTACCATTGCTGAATTTTGTATAGAGGAAGATCATATCATTTACAGGTTTGGTGTGTTAGAAATTCTTCATTACTATTTTCAGTGATTGTTTGTTTTTTTTTTTTAACTTAGATTTGGTCTTTCTTTTGCTATCAGTGCAAGATTTCTTTTTTTTTTTTGTGTAAGTTTTCCATTCTTTATGGGTTTTGAGTATTTTATTTGGAGACATCACAGAAAACATACTAAACCTCTAAGGAATGCATATGACATATTTAGTTCCAGCTCCGCTGGATTTGCCCTCTGGTTCCATCGATAACTACTATCACAGATTGGCACAGGAGAAGTCACTACTATGACAGCAATGTTTAACTGAGTTGATTAAAAGAAACAGGAGGAAGAAGGGATTAAAAGTTTCAAGAATTTATTTTGTTATTTGAACTTCACTTTTTACTGAACATCACAGTTGTCATATGCCACACATACATATTGTGTGATTGATTGATTGTTTTTCGTGAATGGGCAAATTTGGTACCAGTCCTGCTGTAGCTCATCTCACCTTTTGTATAAGGCTTCTCAGCTTACGTTTATCTGCCTGATTTATTTACGATTAGTTTAGGGTTTAATATTAGTTTAGTTTTAGCTATTATTTGTGTTGAATCTATTTTAATTTAGGGATTTTTTTTTACTTGTCTTTCATACACTTTATTTTTAATAAATATTGACTGCTACATCTAACAACTATGTCTACAA